ACCAGGACCATTCATATCCTCTGCGGGATATTGATACATCCTCACAGAAGTATTCTTCAGCTTGCTTATGGCAACTAAATGTTAGAAAGCCGATGGGCGAAATACAGTGTGAGGGCTATCATTTTGGTTCTCAAATCTACCTACTCCTGATGTTATCTAAAGTGATAATGGCTTACATTTTTCATATAAAGAAGTGCAAGATCCAGCAAAACAAGAGGGAATTAAATGGGTATTTCACACCCCATACTACCCCTAATCAAATGGGATGGTAGAAAGAACTAATGGCTTGTTGAAAAAGAATCTCAAACCACATGAGGCTCAATGGTATACAAGACTTCCCAAAGTACTCCATCAATTAAAGAATCGATATGGGCCTACTGGAAGCCCTGTAAGCCAAGCATTCTTTGTTAAAACTGGGAGCTGTGCCCTACATTCTGCAAGCACCTCCTATCTTCCATCTTCCCACAGACTCCAAGCTATGCTACAGGCCCACAAAATAAGTGAAGTCCTGATGCTTATAACTGATGCCTGCTGCAAGCTGCAAAGGTTCTTGGGAAAACATGGTACGCTGTCAGCAATCGGGAAAGGTGATGAGCTGTTCCATACCCTGAAAGACACTATGCCTTATGTCCCTGCTGCTTTCTTGAGAAATGCTGAAACCCCATATAGAGATGCATGCAAGATGCCCACCTTAACCCCCACTAGATCACCTCACCATCAGTCTTAACGAGATGGTGTCAACAACTTGCACAGTATGCTGCAAAACTGTTGAAAAAAACAAGGTTCCATCTTTGATAAAGTCAGGAAGTCCAGGAAAATACAAAGTGCTTAGAATAAAAACAAAACCAAAAAACATACTATTAAACCATCATGCCACCCCTGAACACCCAATACAAAATTACTGACCTGAAAAAAAAAAAAAAAAAAAAAAAAAAAAAAAAAAAAAGAACTGCATACAGTGCACTGCAGAAAGTGTACTTTCTGCCAAACCTTGACTGGTCCTGAAGTCCTTACCTCAGACACCTCCGCTTCTCTATATGTCACACAAGCAGGGACATTCTTCTTTCCAGCTGATGGAGGGCTGCTCCAGGCTCATGACGAAAGACACCAGGGTGTTACATCCACAGAAGAACAAGGAAGCCATGGTGATTTTCTGCCAAGCCTTGTTTCCCAGCAGAGTCGGGATGTGGTGAAAGCAGGCTGAGGTTCTCCACCTTCGTCCAGGTGACTGCAGCGAGGAGGTTCAGGAGCAGCCACAAGATGGAACTGAGAACTGTTCGTGCCCCAGGCTTTGCTGGGTCTGGTTCCACCTCCTGCAGCAGGTCTCACCCCCTTCTTGGGTCGTCTTGGGCAGTGCAAAGCCTAAGTTCGCTGCTGTGCCTACCAGTACCACACCATACTAGCAAACCCAGCCTGCGAGAAGGTCCGTTCCTGGTAAGCAGAGGACACCTCGACATTTTGCTCCAACTTTAGGAGGCTCAGGTGGGGCTCCCACACAGGAGGCAGGTGCATCCTACGTACTTTCCAAAGGAAGTGACTAAGCTGCACTTTAACGAGCCAGCCCAGCAGCTTACACTGTGCTCTACCCCACTGGCCCTCAACCCTGCCCAGAGCCTAATTCTCAAAGGTGTCCCTACTCTGAGCATGTCTGTGCAGCAGGATTAGAGACAAGTTACCCAATAAATAGAAATTACTGAAAAAGCACTATCAGGGTTTTAGGAAAGACTCATTTTTCCTGCTTACAAGCAACCGCTGCAACATATATTAGTGTTGGCCCTTATGTTCTTTAAATAGCCGTGGTAAGGTCTGCTGTTTTATAAAACACAAACTAGGGACAAAGTGCTATGGCAATTTTTTAACCTTGCTTATGTATATATAGGTGTAAATAAGCCTTGGCTATAGCAACAGCACAGTCAGGAAATAAACAAACAGTTGGCTTGGTTCTATAAATATGTCTGTGAGCAAGAGGTGTTACAGCAAAAACTGCTGGTACATAAGCAAACGTGTAACTCATTTGTCATCTTATGAACACAACTCTTGCTCAACTACACATGCAGGTAATCAGGGCACAATTAAGGAATTCTAAATATCTAGGGCATGCCTTGGCTGTAGAAAGATGAGTTAATTCAACTGACTGATTCAAATCGAATAGGAAACCTTGAGTTAAATAACTTGATATAGTAGGTGTAGTTTATTTTTTTTCCACAATTCAATTCTCACTGATTTTAGTTTGGTTTGTTTGTGGGGTGGTGGTTTGTTTTTTTTTTTTTGCTAACCAGAATATATTGTAATTGAGCACATTCAGGAATCATGTATCTTGGGTTTTGTGGATTCCCCGCCCCACCCCCCGAAAACAAAAATGACAGGTCCTGTTTAGGCTTTTTTTTTTTTCCCTCCCCTCTGTTTGTACCAAGGCAAGCAGAAGGTGTAAACAAGCAGAAAGGCAGCTTCCATATAGCTGAGAGAACACCCCGACACCGTTCTTTGCACTTACTCAAATCAGCTGCCACACAGCTCTGTGACAGAGGAGTGTATACCTTGTGGGTATGCGCTGCCTGACTGGGATCAACATGAACCACCTGGGTTTATCAAGGCCTGGGAATTTCAGTTATCAAGGCTTTTAGTGTGAAGAACACAGCTTTGGTCAATCATTCTTCCAAGCAAATGGCACTGATGATACACAATGGAAGTCAGAAAATCTCCACTATGGAGAGCCATGATGCTCCTGCTCCCATAAACACCCTTCCACCACCAACTACATGGCAGGTGAAGAGGGGAAAAAAAAAAAAAAAAAATCTCTTTTAAATAGCAAACAAACACAAACCAGTACTACTGGGGAAGGGCCCCAGGTCCGGGAAAGTAGCAGAACACTGGCCTGTTGCATTGAAAGCGCTTCCTACACTAAAAGGAAAATAAAAGTATTTTTTTCCTGTGTCCAGTACTCATGGTCAGGCTCTAAGCTGGTTTTGTAGCAAAGAATTCACTTGGGACAAATATGAACACATGCCCAGTGTCAGCAGACAGAGTCAGTCAACAAGTCATGTGGCCTTGGCCCCCCTACCCCAACCATCACAGACAGGATCCCATACAACACAAGGGAGAAATTCACACCGTGCTAAAACTAACCGTTTAGCGCAAGAGGTTTAAGTACCATCAGTGCAGTAAATCTGAAAAATAGGTTTTATTTTTAACCAGTGGTATTGTGACATCTTATCTGGCATAACCAATTACAGCAAAATTCATGGATAGAAACAAAATAGCAGATCTCTTCTTTGAAGTGCAGCCTCCTGTTCAGCCTGCAGGCAGCTGAACAGCATTGCACTGAAGGTAGGGAGTGCATGCCACATGGGCTCCCGTCAGAGTATGGACTCTGAATGAAACATTCCCATTCACACATGCGCATAGACACACACACACACACACACACCCCATCTATATTTTTAAAAATCTTCAGCAATATTTCCGCATGAAATCACACTGTAGCATCTACACATAAAATGGCTGATAAAAATAATCTTGCTGTAGGTTTACATAGTATATCTACATTTCCATTTGAATGCCTGGACTGCTGGTCCAGCAGAAAAGAGAGGTTTTCTGTCTTGATTTTGTTGGGCTGAGGAGAGTTTTATCCCAGAGCATGAAATAACTCCTCTCTTCATCTCACCCCAGACTTTTAAGTGTTTGACCTGAAGAGATCACTGGAAAGTAGCCTAGGAAGAATCAATGGTTTTGTCACCCGTGTCCCATCCCTTTGTGCTGCCTCGTTCAAACACGAGGTAAACACACTACAAACAGTTCCTCTCTGTCCCATAGGTAACAAGAATACAATACTGCAAAAGCCTTTCTCTTCACATACACAGGTACGTTGCCCACACAGGATGCCTGCAACAAATAAATGTCTAAAAACGTCTCCTCCCCAAGTCCTAAAGTCAGGCTCCTAAGCTCCCCAGGTACAGTTCTAGCACACAAACATGCTGAGAAACCTCCTTCCTGCCAGTCTCTAACTCTGGGCATTTCATTCACGCAGAGTCCTGTAAAATACAAAAAACATACTCCCTTTTCATGTTTCCTCAGGCAGAGATCAACCTGCTAAAAAACAGCCAAGAAGCTCTTATCTGAGAGGGTAAAAAAAACTTCTAGTAAATGTTAGTTTTATAGACAGTGAAAGGGAGATTGTGGGTTTATGCATGCTTATTTCTTTGCTTTGGATTCCAATGCTTCTAAAAAAAATATTTTCAGGAAATAACTTAAGTTCTGGCACGAGATGCCATAGCTGTTTCTTTAAAGAACATTTTTTACATTTGATCTCGCAAGAAACCCTCCATCCCAACCTCTCCTCTGAAACCAGAAGGTGAGAACACAAAGAAAAAGGTGCATGTTTCTATACTGTATGTTTTATCCTTTCCTCATCAAAGCCTCCAGAATGGCAGGTGTTTCACAATGAGCTGCAGCACAAGAGGAAGGATGCTGTGATTTCATGGCACTGACTGAGGTACTCAGTAAAATAGTTCACTGATGATTTCACTGCCCCAGTGCCATCCCCAAAGAAGTAACAACAAAAAGTCAAGCAGCTCTAACGTGCACATACAGATACGACATGCAAAAACACCCCACCTTTTAAGGAACAAAATACACAAATGTGTGGCTAGCAAGGGTCTTCTCCAGCCTTTGTCTCCTGGGAGCTAATGCTGGGAAGCCTCAGAATGAGAGGAGGGGAAGAGGGAAAAATACAGGAATACTCAATCCAGGGGTAGAGGCTGTTGCCTCGGAAAGTTATTTCCCTATTACAACAAGTTCATGCCTGGCTATCTGGGAGCCTTCACTCTGAAAAACGGTGGGTCAGAGATTTCCACTCCAGACTTCCTTTCCCCCCTCTCCCCATTCAATTTAAGGCACAAACATATTTACAGTTTCAAACAAAACCTTTTCATGTTCCAAGAATCAGACATTAGAAGGCCTGTACATTCTCCTGTACCAGGAAGATCTGGACGTAAATCAGACATCCCTCAACCCCACCTTCAGTCCTGAAGAAAACAGAGGACTCTCTAAGCCTATAAAACAACTTCCGTTATTTTGAGGTTACTTAACTGTAGAAGAATTGATAAATGGCAATGATTGTAACCAAACTTTAAACGTCAGCTTCCCCACCTTGCCCCAGCAGTGCAAACTGGTTGAGCACTGTTACTCTGTAAGGACTAAAGAGCAGTCAGAACAGGTCTTCAGGGGCTTGCCCCAGGCTGTACACAGAATACAAGAGAGCATGCAGCATGTTTACATAGACTCAACTTTTTTCCCTCCCCCCACCCACCCCAATTCAACACACACAAACCCCCTCCACCAAGGAGAATATTGTTAGGACGACGAGGCACTTGAACAATGATCGGAGAGTCCCTATGAAAAGGCCTTCCCCTCACAGTGAAGTGGGACGAACAGAAGAGAGCAGTTTCTCAGGACTCCATCTCCTCTTGGTCAAGCGGTGGTGGCACAAAGCTGATTACTTCATCATAAGTCAGGCCTGGTGGGAGAAGCGTGACAGAATCTTAACAGGCAGTACTAAAGACATCCCTCATGCGAGAAAGCCTGTAAAAATCTTAAAGGTTCTAACACTATCTTAAATGAAAAACATGGTTCAATTAAGAAGAAAAAGAAAAGAATGGTTATACCATTCTCAGAGACTAACATACACAATAAAAGATACTTCCAGAGCATTGAGGAGACATGAATAAGTTTGAAAACAAAGACATCAGCAAATATGTTGCCTACATGTTTGTATGGTCATAGTAATAGTCAGTTACCAGGAATTATGCTAATTATGTGCACCACAAGTAATAGATTCACTCAGTCTAAGAACTTTAGAACGAATAGGATGTCCATGTTTGTATCAGTTTCTTTTGTGCCTCTAACTACCGTGGCTTAGTTAAACCACAGCTAAGGAATGGACCACAAGGGAAGCAGGTTGTCTCTCTCTCCCATCCCCCAAACTCACTTTTCCATTCTTCAATCTCAAGTTCTCTGCTTTCAAAAGACTGGTCATAGGGGTCTGCCACTGGTTCATCATCTGGGTCATGATACTGAGCAAAGTAGGCATGAGCCAACGCTTCTGCTGCAGTAATTCGTTTGTCTGTATCCAGTACCAACATCTTCTCTAGCAAGTCCACAGCTGCAAAAGCACCAAAACAGAAGAGAACGGATTTTACATAGTGAGCTGTGTGACACTGTATTCTGAAACATAAGCTTGTAAAAGCCCAATGTATATGAAGAGTCTGTAGTTTCTCAGGACCCATCCATCGCCCACAATTTCTTCCTCTTATACCCTCAGCCCACACATACTTTGTAAACTCTGAAAATGGTACATAGCTCTGTTCTGAACTACTTCTGCAGTCAAAATAAAATTTTGGGAAAAGCCTTGGTGTCCCAGGACATGCTAGCTTCAGCTTCAGGAAGAGCACATCATTTAAAAAGCAAGCCTTACCTAGTGGATTGGCACCAATAAACACATTTTCAAAGTTCATTTTCGGCATGTAAGACAAAGACTGAATGTAGTTTCTTGCCTGCGGAAATAAACACTCTGTTGAAGTATAATACAATCCAGCCACTAAGACAGAGTGCATTTCAATCATCCTGAAGCACGGTTATTATGGCCTGTATCCTCACTTTGCCTTCTCTTTACTTATTCTGATACTTACTGAGCCCATCAGCATCATCCCTTCCCAACTAAAGGCCGCTCAAGAGAGTGGAGGAAGAGCTGACAATGTTTGGGGTTCATGCATGACTGAAAAGCAAAGAGGTGCTGCAAGAGCTGACTGGCTGGGAGTCCCAGTGAGGCTGCGTGCAGTATGGTGTCTGTTGGTAAGCCGCACGACATGGCATACAATGCAAAACCAACTCACATCCAGGCTCTCCCGAGTCTCAGAAGTCTGTGGTTGTGTACGCACTGTCCAAATTTCAAGTCTTCATTTAGTACAAACATCTTGCCGAAGAGCAGGTAGTTAATTGCCCACCCCATGCCACATGCGAGCATACCATTTACTGAAGCAGCAAACACTGCAAGTGAAGACCTGCCCTGCAAACCCCCCTCATCTGCTCAGGTCTCACCTCATGGCTGGGCATCCTGTTAATGAGATATGCAGGGGGTGTTCCCGTCAGACGCATGATCTGCTGAAGCTGGTTAATATCTTAAGTGCCTAGTCAAGGGCTTTGTTAAAAACAGTGCAAAAACCATTTTAAACAGAAAACAGCTGCATACAAAGCATCTTTTCTGCAAACCACAAGGCAAAAGCCAAACAGGCAGGATCCACTAATTTTTTCAAATACTTGTGAAAAGTTCAGCAGTTGCACTAGTGAACACTAAAAACAATGGAGAACTACTGATCAGTTGGTAAGCGTCAGTACATAAAGTATTTCTGTCTGCCATAAGTAGCATTACACTGCAACACGGTTGCATTCACATTTCACAACAGTTTAAGCCACCAGAGTAGACGTTTCCTTTGGCTGAAGCTACTCCTCAAAAAATTTTCCTAGGCTGCTGCAGCTACAAACAGCCTCAGGAAAAGGAACAAAAATTAAAACAGAAACAAAAATTAAAACAGAAACAAAAATTAAAACAGAAACAAAAATTAAAACAGAAACAAAAATTGTATCCTCTGCACTGGTCACCAGCTTTTTTTCTTGCTGCATAGAAAGCACTTAAGCTCCTTGTGGTGCAAAGTGAAATCAGCTCACAACTGACACTTCCTTCTAAACAGCTTTGAATGCACTTTGATATGTGGGCGAGGTGACAGAAGGCAGTAAATGCAAAATTAGCAAAACATTAGCATTGCATAAAACAAAACTTAGCTGATGTCAGTGAACAGACAGAGAAAGTAAGAGCAAGTAAAGTAATGCAGCAGAAAAACAGAATTTGTTACAGTGACACACTAAAGGCCCTCAAACACTTAATAGTTTTGCTATCTCCATACAATGGAAAAAAATTGGTAGAAACAGTACTTTACTGCATTTTTTTTTTTTTAAACAGACTCTTGATTTGGACCTTACTAAGAGCAATTATTCTTTTTATTGTGCAATGTTAAAAAAGACCCACTTCAATCTTACATATGCAAACTAATCTTTTGCTTAACCTAGTCAACCTTTAAGCTTATCTCTCTTGCTAATCCCCTGTACTTCAAATACCAGACTACCCTCAATGTCAGTTCACCGGGCACTCAAAGCAACCTGCGTTATTCAGTTCTAACCTTTTCAAGGGTAGAACATCCCAGGGCTTTTAAAATTGGTGCAATATTCAGCAAGTCGACCAACTGATTCCAACTTGCGCTGCACATCTACCTTCAACAAACACAATTCAAGGCTAACCCCACATTTCACATTTACTGTCACTGTTAGATGAAAAACAACATAAGCTGCAGTACAAAATCATCTTATCATCACTCTCCACTGCGCTGATCCTCTATTACGTATCAGAAACAGCAGAGTGACTTGCTAAAGTATGCTGCTAGTTACCTCTATGCAAGTTCATTGCTCACTATGCATTAACTTGTTAATCTGTACTGCTACAGCATCTCTTGCTCTAACTTTTACGCACTTCACCTTCAGAAACAGGTAAAATTAAATGCCATTTAATACCGTCTTTGCAGAAGTTCACAACTCAAGATTAGAACAATACAGAAATGGCAGTATGGCCGAAAATAGAGGTCACCCTTTAAAAAGGAGACTAGAGAAAGCTTTTTGGTGTTACCTTGATAAAAGGGCCCCATACAGCAATACCCTTTAAATACATGGCACAATTTAGTTATATTCTCAGCAGACTACACATTGTGTGCCCTGGAAACAGCTGCCACATAAAGTACCTAAAAGGCTTTTTAGATTTTATGCTACAAAAACAAAGATGGTGGCAGTAGCATTTCAGAAATTAATCATACTACAGAAGGGACTGTATGTGTTTAGAGGATAACACACTTGTTCCTGTTAAGAAAGATGCTTGGGTAGGCAATCTGGAGAAATAACAATTGAGACAAGCCTCAAGCTCTTAGCTGTGAAAAGTACTTCCCCAGCAGCATCTGATCATACAGTATATCACGAAGTATAAACCCACAGACTGAAAGAAAAGTCACGAAGCAGTAAAATGAGAATATGGAAGGAAGAAATCATACCACTGGCAGAGGTAAGAGGAATTAACATCAGATACACACGGCGTAAGAACTCAAAAGCCATCCAAGAGCAAAGAATGACAAAGTCAGAAAAATAACAGAAAAGAAATCCCAACACATACTATAGATAGACTACAGAGGGCAACACACAAACTTGGGACTTCCAAAAGGGCAGATATTACAATCAAAGTGTAAACTCACAGACTCTGAGGAGATTTTCTTCAAAAGCTCAGGCCCTGGGGTTCCAACGAGTCTCAAAATGAGCTTCAACTGATCAATATCTAATGATGGACCATAAAGGAAAATGCTGGGACAAATCAAAATGAAAAGCGCAACATATCAGCCTATTAATGTTGAAAGTTAATGCCTGCCAAGGCCTCGACTGAAAAGCTATTTTAAGCAAACCGTATTCATTCCTCTCATTTACAATCGAATATCCCGGTATAACACAGCTCTGTCTGCATCAGACAGATTGAACAACTTGTCTACAAATACACCACATGCATTGAATCAGTCACTGCATCCTTAACTATTGTGAAGCAGAAGTCAAAGATTTTGCCCCACTGGCAAAGGATCAGTTTACATGCTCACTTCACCCTTTCAGGCCCCACACCAAAGTAGAAGCAGTTAGCAGGATTAGGTTGCATTAGTGACAGATGAAATAAAGCAGAAGGCTGAAAAGTGTAGGCACTAATAATAAAAAAAAAAAAAAAGTCAAGGCCTTTCATGAACACCTTCCAAAGTAATTCAGCCACTTAGGAAAACTTAGTAAGAAAACGACTGGACCCTGCTTGCAACCTACACCATCCCTAACCCTGAACACGGGGTGCACTTTTCTCAAGCCCAGAGCGGCCAGGGTGCTGCAGCCGGCAGAGGGGGCTCGCCCCCGACAGCTCCCCAGGGACCAGCAGGGCAGGAGGCCAAAGCACCTGCATCTCCTTTCTGCCCTACAGACCCGCCGGAGCAGCAGAGAGAACAGAATATGGGCTCAGATTTAAAATCTCTATGTAGAAAGATCTCAGCACATAACATTGCAGATGCAAAGAATGTTTTATCCAGAACAGAGCTTCCACCAGGCCACGTACTAATCTGAGCTGCCCTCTTTAACAAGGCAGGAAAAACTAAATATTTGGCACAGGTGACAAAACAAACTCGAGGGGAAAAAAAAAAAAAAATCCAGTAAATACAGTGTCACACGTCTAAAACTCAAGATAGTAAGGAGACACAAGGTATCTCTAAAACCATTAAAAGAATAAATCTCCTTTCTTCTCTGAATTATCCTCCATGCTGCCCTTCAAAACCTACTAGTGATTTCAGACAGTGTCTGTAATGTTTATATTTGCCCTTAAAATTATATCAAACTAGTTATACATTTTTCTTTCAATAAGAGCCATCTACTTACTAGACAATGTTTCTTCTGGGATTAATGCCTTTCTGATGTTTTAAGATACAGTTACAATTCCTTGTTAGAACATCTTTTAATTCAAATACTATAAGCACTTCAAATATTGCCTCTTTTTTTTAAAAAAAAAAAAGAAGAGCTTTAGAGCTCCTGTAATACTGGCAAGCTGTATAGGAAGGAAATAATCAATACTTTGCTAAAACCTTTACCTTTTGATGTAAACTTTGGTCTCAAGCTTTACATATGAAATGAATTAAAAGCCCTGGAAATAGTATTTTGTCAGAACAGCTGAACTGATTTCTCACTTCTCACGTTGCTTGGCCAACTCCTACCTACTTAAACAGCTGAAACCTAAGAGTAAATCCAATGTAACCAGTTGGATCTAGCTTAGCTGCTGAACTGCCAACTCTTAATTGTCAATGCTTAAAATGAAATTGGTATATCTACTGGAGTAAGAGAATCAGCAGAGGGTGCTATAATAGCCACAATTAGCTCACTTAAATTGGCTTTTCTTCAGTGCCATTTAGAACAGCCCTTACACCTTTCACTCATTCTTGTGCAAGAAACAGTTGTGCAAATTTTGGACCACTAGCATGCCTCAGAAGTCACATGCCATACCTCAGTTTAAATATTTAAATTCTTTTAAAGGCATTTAAAATCCTGTGCACCAGGTGTGCCACCAATATTGCTTCCCAGTTTGCTGTCAGCTCTTTTGCCAGAGGACAGCATGCTATTGGAAGATACTTGTGTAATATACTTCAGTGTCTTCTCAGGTAAACAAGAGAAAACACAGTATGCATAGCTGGCACTGCATAGGCATTGCAAAACCCAACCCCTGCTTCTAGTTTTAGGCCTGCCATCTATAGCCTGCTGAATTGCAGCATTCCTTTAATTACAGGGCCTACCACACCCCAGAGAAATGAGCCATAAGCAATTAAAGACAGGAAAAACACTTAGTAAAAACAAAGCAAAAGAAAGAAAAAAACAAAAACAAACACACATGCATGGAGGAGGACAGCGCGGCATGCAAATGCCATCACCAAGGTACCCCCAACAACTCACGAGTCTCAGTCATTCTAAAATTCAGAAAACAACCTGCCATCACTATCAGTAGCAGGCATCACAAGATTGTAAGAGCTTATCCAGGCAAAGCAAAGTTCAGAAGTTGTTTTAGCTGCCACCACAAGCAAGAGTAAGACGTATCAGAAGAATATGTAATTTCAGACTAGTTAGTTATCATGGAAGTCTCATGCAACTGAATAAAAATAATAATAATAAAAACACTCTTCAGAGTTTAAAGGGAATACAGTCAACTTAAAACATACAGAAAAAGAAAATTGGCTAAACTAGTAGAAAACATGCAAGTATTCTTATTCATACTTTATATCATTTTATGCAAGTCAAATTGATCCATACAAATAAGTAGGAAAGTTGACTTTAAGCTTGACATTGACATTACAAGCGCTACAAAAAAATTAAGAATATACATGTTTAACAGAAACTGATCTCGGTGTAAGACAGGTACAATAATAACAAAGAGAAAGCCTCTAGCTGTGCCTCACATTGAAAGCCCAAAGGACTCTGATTTTCATTACCTCCATTTTTTGTCTCTGGCTAGTCTTTCCCACAATCTTGCTCCCCTTCTCCACCTCCTGGCAGAGATTTTACAAATATTAGAAAACCATCTTTCATCCAAATATTTCCACCCATACATTACAATAAGAACAATTCAATTAGTCTACATTCAGTTTTAAGTTAGGAATATTGTAACAATACTGCAGAGCTAAGCCCATATTAATCACAGGTTTTCTTCTAAGAGTATCTACAGTTCTTGCTTTAAGTCAATGACAGCCACATTCAGAATCTTGACAGATTAGGTCCTTCAGAACTTAAAACTAAATTCAGCATTAGTTTGTCAGCGGCATCATCATCATAGACAGCATTGAAGATCATCATCTCGGAATACAACTTTATTACTTACCAGATTAAATTAACTGTACAGCTTGCCTGTAGTGAAACCCCTTATAATTAATATATGCATCTCTGGGCTGTATAAAGAAATATCTGATGGACTGTAAATAACATCACACCATTTCTGCTAAATCCTTGGCAAAAGGGACCAATATTTCAAACAAGAGAGCCATCTGAACAGGAGGATGATCATCCTGAGAAGGCATTGCCTCTTCTGTCACTATCTATTTCATTTTGGAAATGTGAAGCCATATAGTTGAGAAAATTAATGTCTTGAGACCAAAAAGCAAGAGGAATGTAGAATTTTCAGTTGTCAAACAGGAGCACTTTCCAGGTTCCTGCACACACAGAATACATAGTCACATTGCGTCCAACTGCAAAGTGAATTCCCCAGAACTGCAGTGGATTTGGATATACCATATCCTTGGCTACTAGAAGCATGGTAAATATGCCTTGAATTAAGCATGTTAATATTAATTGCAAAGTCAGGAAATCAGCAATTGCATAGTGACACTGCTGAAGGAACACAGGCCTCAGCAAATCTGTGGGTACAAAGAAATTAAGAGCCCAGAAGTACCCAACAGGATCTACATCTGGAAAATTCCTAAAATTTCCTCAAAAAAGCATGCATATATAAAGATTTCAAAGAGCCTTCCAAGACAGGAAGAAGCTGGAACCCATTGTTATCTTACTTCCGCTTGCTGTCTTTAGATGTCAGCAAAACTGGAGTGAAAGCTAACAGCTTGGTGCCAATCTAGATCCTTGGATAAGTGTTACACACACAAACAAGATTCATAACTACAAACCCTGCTCCCCTTATAGTTCTAACCTCAACATCAAACAGCATATAAGTTATGTAAAGCAGGGAACCACACACACAAACTGTAAGAACTATAGTACTACAAAGTTTTATCTACAATGGGAAAGGATTGGGCTTTATTTTTCTTAAAAAACTAACCAATTCAGAACAGAAAAAGCATTTAATTCAAAAGCGTTACTACCATTTGCAAAAGAAAGGTAAAGAATCACACGCATCTGCTAGGAGATATAAATTACTGAAGTATCTTAATATGACAAACCAAACAATGCAGATCCTAAAAGTAAACTTTATTTTGCACTGTGAATATTGCTGTTGCTGGCTATAATTCACAGCTAAGAATGCAGTTGGAGGAAAAACTTCCCAGGTTTGGAAGATAACTGTTTTGTTCAATTCATAAAGAACACATTGTGAAGCATTTCTTACATACTGCAAATCCTATTAGCAAATATTTTATGTGCAAATATCAAGATTTTTTTAAATCTAAAGTATTACTAGGGTTAAACAGTGGCAACAGCTTAAAGACTTTCGCTCTGTTTGAATCAACGATTTCTTGATTTCTCTTTTTTTTCTTGATAGAAACAAACACAATCTGCCCAAACCAAATTATACATGCTAAATCAGCCAATAGAAATATGGCAACTTTTTCTAGCTTCTAAGCCACTTTCATGTTAGTTCTGCTTCTGTCCCTGACAACAGAAAAATGTGGCAGGGATGACTAAACAGTAAAGAAGAGCAAGTTCAACAAATCTGGAGACAGGTGAGATGGAGACAGGCACAAAAAGAGAAAAAAGGGTAAATTTAAAGCACATTTAAAAGGGACATGAAACTGTCAAAACTGAAATGAAAGCCTTCCCCCCACCAAAGTGTTTTAGAATCTAGATGCTTTCCAGAAGTAACGTAGTACACAGAAGGCCAGCACTTCCAACACTAGTTTTCTTTTAATCAAATGCTAACCTATTTGAATTAACAGATACAAATACTAATACATTAATAAAACTTACTAAAATAAACAAACTGTGGTTGAAAGAATAAACTTTGGTAAAAGGCAGGCAATCTAATTTTCTCTGGCAAATGAAGTCCAATTCTAGGCAATGAAAAATCTTGCCATTAGTTAATTACCCCAATATGTTGTGTGGCTGAACAAACAAAAGTTGTAAGTATAACAATTTGCATCAAGTCTCAATTATAATTTCCTGGGGAAAATCACGACCAACTTTCACAATATGCTCTCTCATAAGTTTGCCAAAGTGTCCTACCCAGCCCACTTTGGTGCAACAAAACAATAATCTTTAAAAGATGTCATTCACATTTTGATGTGATTTTTTCACATCAATACAAGCATACAGTAAAAGGCAGCTCACAATCTGTTTACGCTCAAGCATGGAAGCGGAACCTAAACATTTCAGAGCAATTTGGAATGATATCCTTGGCACTAAAGAATCTGTAAACCCACTGCTTTCACAGCATACCACCAGGATACAGAAGAGAGGCCAGAAGGGATGCTTCACATTTGCTAGAAACCTGAAGCGTGAGAGGACTCTTAGCAGAAAGCCTGCTCCACGCAGTTATTTTCTACAAACTCAAAGAGCAATGAATTTAAACAAACTTAAAGGAAAGTAACTCCCAGAAACAAAAAAACATGCGAGTAATTCTAGTGATGCTAATAGACAATAAAGAGGAACAGATTTGCCTTCTTGCACACTGTGATCGTTTCACGTGCAGCAAAATCAAGAACTCACCTTATCGTACTGTGAGTAAAAGCAGCTATTAATTTAAAAACAAACAAACAAAAAAAACCCACAACCAAACCCAGAACTTCTTTTCTTGTGAAGTATGTGAAAGTGAAGATATCTAACTTCCATTTAAAAAAATATATTACTTTTAAAGGATACGGTCTGTACCAGGGAACAATGTTCTTCCAGTCAACAGTTCAGCCATAATGCATCCCACTGACCAAATATCAACTGAACAAAATAAAATAAAAAACAAAACAACATAATGCAGAAAAATAAAGTCTCAATAGAATCACCCTATCCAACAAGTACAAACAACTTTATCCTTAAATAGCCTTATGGCATTGAAACACTCTAGGATACGTTGCAAGCTAACTGATACTGTTCAGTAACTACATCGTCTGAGACTTGTCCAAAATACAGAATACTAGATCAGGCAAATTTTCCTTCCAGAGCATAACATGCATAATCTACACAATCAAGGAGGAAGAAATCTGTTCAAGACAACTCTGAGGAATGAATTTGCACATGGCCTTACATAAATTCTATTCCACCCAAACAACCACCAACTATTATACTACAGATACAAGACAAGTCCACATACATGCAAGAGGAAAAGAGAAAAGAAGAAAGAGTAATGAAGTATGAAATCAAAGTAGCACATTATTTTCTTTGATCCATATGCTCTCCCGTACAAGACCTATTCTTAGCACTTGCTTTTCTTCTCTGTGCCTGGTCTGGAAGTATTGT